ACCCCCGGAATTGGCAGGGTGGGACCCCATGAGGTTGTTTCCCGGAATTGGCAGGGTGGGACCCTATCAGGGTGGGACCCTATTGAGGCAGGGTGGGACCCTATCCAGAGCCACCTGGTGTTAATTTTTTTAAGTTCTTTTTTATGAGGCCTAGTTTCTAAGTTTTATGCGGCCTAGTTTCAGTGGCACCTAGATAAGGGCTTAGAAATGTAAAGGGGCTCAGAGGGAAAGGTGGGCCTCACAGAGAAGAGTTGCAGAGCATAAGGGGGAGGGGTGGGCAGCATGGAGAGGTTTATGGGGAGTGTCAGCAGTACAAAGTAGCACAAAGCTTTTTTGGGGCGGTTTGTCTCTAACACTTTTGACTTGAGCAACTAGGTAGACGGGTAGAGCTTTTTACTGTGGGGAGAGAAAAAGAGGGGCAGGTTTAGAGAAGAAAAAATCATGGTTTGGTATTGGACTTGAGGATCTTTAAGTTCAGGAGAGGAGAAAATGTAACAATACAGGTATAGTTAAATGTCTATAATAGAATAATACCTAGATTGGAATTATATTTCTCTATTGCTTTATAAAAAATTATCCCAAAATTTAGCAGCTTGAGAAAACAAACTTATAGTTTCTGTGGGTCAGGAATTGAGAACCAGCTTAACTGGTAATTCTAATGCAGGGTCTCTATGAGGTTGTAATCAGGATGTCAACTGGGATTGCAGTCATCTCAAGGCTCTCCTGGGACTGGAGTCTGCTTTCAAGTTCACTCACATGGTTGTCTCCAGGAATCTCAGTTCCTTACCACATGAATTTTTCCATAGGGAAGTTACACACACTGTCATTTCTGCTGTATTCTGTTTGTTAGAGTGAGTGATTAAGTATAACATGCACACAAGGGAAGGGGGATTAAACTTCACGTTTTGAAGAAAGGAGATTCAAAGAATGTATGGACCTCTTTCTAAACCCATGAAGAATATTAAAAGAAGAAACAAAGCAAGCCTAAAGCCCATCAAGAATCACCAGATTATAGCTTGTTCCTTTGATTCTTATTTAGTATCAAAATGTTAGGTTTTACACTTGTATTCCCAGGACGGACTCTAAAAAGGGAAGTACAGTTTCATACTCTTCATACATGCCAAGTATCTATTGGAGTCAAGCAGTTCTCAAAGAACAAACCATTCCAAGCTAAAAAAATGTATTTTATCATTTGGTTGAAGCTGTTTGTCTCCTATCACTTTGTTCATTAAGCCAGTATCATTAGGTATCAAATGCATTATTTTATGTCTTTGTGTTCTCATCACAGGTTATTGCTTACAACTCAGAAGGTAAAAGTAATCCAAGTGAAGTAGTAGAATTTACTACTTGCCCTGATAAACCAGGCATACCTGTAAAGCCTTCAGTGAAAGGAAAGATACATTCACACAGTTTTAAAATAACTTGGGGTAAGATATTGTGCATGTTTATACATTATCACTTTTGTGTTTAAAATAATTTGAATATGAAGATAATTTTAAAGATATTTGAGTAAATTTGTTATCTCAAGACAGTCCAAAAAGAAATGTGAGAGTCATTCATTGGGTATATTTTTTGTGGAAAACCTTATACTCATACATGGTAGGTTAAGATATTATAAAGAGCAACTTGCGATCCACTGTAAGATAATGAGCAGGGGTAGCACTGTGTGAAATGAAAGATTACTGAACTTGCAGCTAAAGTCACCTGGGTCATCTGGCTCTCATGAGAAATGAAAACCATTCATTGAAAACAAACATTTATCGACCACCTACCTACATCCCTAATGGAAAAACAAAGATCCCATAAACTTGACCCTTGCCTGAAAAATTCAGACCAGTAAAAATGCTTCAGTGATATTTATAATATTCAAAAATTTCAAACAACCTTAACATCTAAAGTAAATGGAGGCTGGGCATGGTGGCTCACACCTGTAATCCCAACACTTTTGGAGGCCAAGGCAGGCAGATCACCTGAGGTCAGGAGTTTGAGACCAGCCTGGCCAACATGGTGAAACCCCGTCTCTACTAAAAATATAAAAATTAGCTGGGCATGGCGGCACATGCCTGTAGTCCCAGCTACTCAGGAGGCTGAGGAAGGAAAATCACTTGAACCCAGGAAGCAGAGGTTGCAGTGAGTCAAGATCGTACCATTGCATTGCAGCCTGGGTGACAGAGCGAGACTCCATCTAAAAAATAAAAATAAAAATAAATAAAGCAAGTGGAGTATCATGCAGCCATTAAAAATTGTTATAGAGAGCCCTATTTTAAATATGGTAAATTAAGTGAAAGCAGATGACAACAGCATGGAGTAATTGGGTACTGGTATTAAGTCATTGCAGGTGATTTTTTTTTTTTTAAACCTAGTTTGGTATTCTGTTTATTAGGTTTTTTAATCATTTTTATGTTGTTTTGTACTTTGCTTAATAATACTTTGCTTCTTTGGATAGATCCACCAAAAGACAATGGCGGAGCAGCCATCAATAAATATGTGGTGGAGATGGCAGAAGGTTCTAACGGTATGAATGGATATTAAACACTGATAGATTTATTCCAGCCAGTCTCTTTCTATTCTTTATGGCTTTACATTTTATGTTATATCTTTTCTTTCTTCCTGCTTTTCATAAGGCACTGTAAAAAGATGTTTACTTCACTTTGGGCTGTCCTGGATTTTTTTTTCTTTGTTTCTAGCAGTTAGGATTTTGCCTGTTACGGTCCACTTTAAATTGTGATTTCCAGAAGTACAGTGAATCAAATGTAAGAGTGCTGTACACCTGTATCATTGCATTTACATGTTCTTTTTGTTCTCATTTGTTTACATTACTCAGCCTCTATACACCTAGACCAAGTCTTTAGATACTATGAATCTTCTGAAGGTTAATTTATTCAGTTAGATTTATATACAGATAGAGAAGGATTAACTTCTAAAATTTAACTCACATCATACTAGTTTTAGTAGTAAGTTTTATGACTAGTGAACTTTATTCTTGAATCGCACATTTAGCAGTGTTTATTTCTATGAAATGACCTATTTCCTGCCAAAAAAAAAAGGATGTCTTTTAATTAGGACTAGACTTCCTCTGATACTGGTTTTTTGTACTCTTTGTGTGCTATAACGTTATTACTGGACCAGTAAACACATTTAAAATGCTTAATTAAAAGTAAATTATCAATCTAGGCCAAAGTCTGTACAGAATTACAGAGATATTTCACTTCAATGAAGCCATGCAGACTTGTCTAGGAAGTTGCACATATAAAGAAAATTAGATCATTTCCAGGAAACCGAAACAAGCCTAAATTGTTTCTGACAAATTACATAAATACTTACTTTGTGAAGCTAGGATACCTGATGTGTCCATGATACCAAAACGTTAAACATTACCTAGTATCTGATTGAACACAATTCCTCACCTTACAGGAAACAAATGGGAAATGATATACAGTGGCGCTACCAGGGAACATCTTTGTGATCGACTGAATCCAGGCTGTTTCTATCGTTTACGAGTTTACTGCATCAGTGATGGAGGACAGAGTGCGGTAATACTTATATGTAGATTCTTTTGTGGTGGTGTTAGGTTTGGCTAAATGGGGTAGGATCACCAGGTGCCACTTCAAATATTGAAACATACCCACAAATGGAGCAAAGTAACTTCTATAACCTGTTTGATTAATTTAATAGTGACCAAAATATTCTAATGTCGTACTTAGCTCACAGTAAGTATTCAGTGTATGTCTGTTGTCTGGTTGGTATTCAGCTTTGGAAAAACAAATACATGAAAACATTGGAGAAAATTTTATAAAGATAAATTTGAGAATGATGCTTAATAACCATACTAAGCAGAAATAGAAATAAAATAATTATAGACTGATTTACTGCTCCATAAATTATGTGTGTGAGGACACATCATAAAATAGTATCTACTGTTTAAATCTACTTTCTAATATTTACTCATTCCAAAAAAGTTGGCCATTATTTTTTTATTAGAGACTCAGTAATCAAAATGAACTTAAAGTGTACCATTGATATAAAGACATAATGTTCTAGGGACATATGTTTATTAATAAGAGTGATTTTTTTTTTTTTGAAATGGAGTCTCACTCTGTCGCCCAGGCTGGAGTGCAGTGGCACGATCGGGGCTCACTGCAGCCTCTGCCTCCTGGGTTCAAGAATTCTCCTGCTTCAGCCTCCCGAGTAGCTGGGACTACAGGTGCCCACCACCACGCCTGGCTAACTGTTGTATTTTTAGTAGAGACGCGGTTTTACCATGTTGGCCAGGCTAGCCTTGAACTCCTGATCTCGTGATCCACTGGCCTCGGCCTCCCACAGTGCTGGGATTACAGGCATAAGCCACCATACCTGGCCAAGTGATTTTTTTTTTTTAAATGAATTAAACCAAGAATGCTTTCTTGGATCATTCATAATGGCTGTTTTTGTTTTGTTTTTTTTTTTTTCAAAATGGAATTTAATGCAATGAAAGTATTCTTTTTTAAAAATGAAATATAGGCATTTTGTTGAAAATGAAACTAATGTGAAACTGAGTGTGAGTCCTGCCCAGCTGGCTTGTCCTCCAATTGCTTCATTTTATCCAGTAAGAAAATCTCCCTGGATTTAAGAAAAGCAGCCACACATACACATGCACAAAATCCTGTTCTACTATAGCATTTTACAGCATTTTTGTGTAGGATAGCTTTCTAATAAAAAGATGACCAAATATTTTGTGTTTAAAAAGAATGTTAAATACGAACCTTAATATGTTGCACGTAAGGAATATGGCACTGAGTTTGTGTCATTGTTTTGTTTTTTTTGTTGTTGTTGTTTTGTTTGTTTTTGAGACGGAGTCTGGCTCTGTCGCCCAGGCTGGAGTGCAGTGGCACGATCTCGGCTCACTGCAAGCTCTGCCTCTTGGGTTCACGCCATTCTCCTGCCTCAGCCTCCTGAATAGCTGGGACTACAGGAGCCCGCCACCACGCCCAGCTATTTTTTTGTATTTTTAGTAGAGACTGGGTTTCACCATTTTAGCCAGGATGGTCTCAATCTTCTGACCCTGTGATTCACCCACCTCAGCCTCCCAAAGTGTTGGGATTACAGGCGTGAGCCACCGCGCCCGGCCCAGTGTGGCATTGTTTTTAACAGAGTGTCTTTGAAAATAAAGGCTTTTAAAAATATAAATATAGCATAGAAACTAAAAGCAATATCAAATACCTAGAAAGATGTCAAATGCCTGGAAAAGCTTACCTGATTTCAGAATTATTTTTAGGTGGAAAGGATGAAGGAAAGATAATTTTTTAATGTATAAGTTAAGCCTGGTGCAGTGATGAATGTGTATAGTCTCAGCTACTCTGGATGTGGGAGGATTGCTTGAGCTCAAGAATTTGAGGCTGTAATCATACCTGTGACTAGCCACTGCACTCCAGCCTGGGCAACATACCAAGACCCCACCTCTAAAAATCAATCAATCAATCAGCTTATACAGTATATTAAAACATCCCTCCTTAGAAGAGATTTATGGGCAGTTGTTAGGGAGGGCGGGCCTGTTTCCGGGTGGCACGTGGGGCTTGAGGCCGAGAACGGCTCTTGCTGCCACCAACATGGAGACCTCGTACCGTGTCCCGTTCTTAGTGCTCGAATGTCCCAACCTGAAGCTGAAGAAGCCGCCCTGGTTGCACATGCCGTCGGCCATGACTGTGTATGCTCTGGTGGTGGTGTCTTACTTCCTCATTACCGGAGGAATAATTTATGATGTTATTGTTGAACCTCCAAGTGTTGGCTCTATGACTGATGAACATGGGCATCAGAGGCCAGTAGCTTTCTTGGCCTACAGAGTAAATGGACAATATATTATGGAAGGACTTGCATCCAGCTTCCTATTTACAATGGGAGGTTTATGTTTCATAATCCTGGACCGATCGAATGCACCAAATATCCCAAAACTTAATAGATTTCTTCTTCTGTTCATTGGATTCGTCTGTGTCCTACTGAGTTTTTTCATGGCTAGAGTATTCATGAGAATGAAACTGCCAGGCTATCTGATGGGTTAGAGTGCCTTTGAGAAGAAATCAGTGGATACTGGATTTGCTCCTGTCAATGAAGTTTTAAAGGCTGTACCAATCCTCCAGTATGACATGTGGAAAAGAATGAAGAGCAGCAGTAAAAGAAATATCTAGTGAAAAAACAGGAAGCGTATTGAAGCTTGCATTAGAATTTCTTCTTGGTATTAAAGAGACAAGTTTATCACAGTATTTTTTTTTTCCTGCTGACCTATTGCTATACCAACAATGTTGAGTGGCATTTTCTTTTTAGTTTTTCATTTCTTAAAGAAAAGAGACTCCATATCTACAACTATAATATCAAATAAAGTGATTGTTTTTTACAACCCCCTTAACATTTTTTGGAGATGACATTTCTGATTTTCAGAAATTAACATAAAATCCAGAAGCAAGATTCCATAAGCTGAGAACTGTGGACAGCTGATCAGCTTTACCTGTGGTGCTTTGCCTTTAACTAGAGTGTGTGATGGTAGATTATTTCAGATATGTATGTAAGACTGTTTCCTGAACAATAAGATGAATGAAAGGAGCAGAAATAAATACTTTTTCTAATTAAAAAAAAAAAAGAAGAAGAAGAGATTTATGGATCCCTTTGGAGAAGATAAAAAATATTGCCCATTAAATTGCGTTGGAAGTTGTTTTTTTCTTTAGTTATGGAAGGAAAAGGAAAGGAAGGGTTCATTGAAGTTCGTTTTCAGTAACTTGCTTTGTATATAGTACTTGCACAGTACATGTCTTTGTCTATGAAAATTTTGAATTTTTATTTAATTGGGTTTTGATTTTTTTTCAGAACTTTATTCCTTTTTCATTGACAATCAAGTACAATTTCAAATTATCAGTGCAATATTTATGTTTATGTTATGTTTCCTTACCAAAAGCAATCTGATTATTTGGTTTTGGGGCATTTTTGTTTTCTTTTTGCTTTTGTTTTGGCAGGTCTCTGAATCTTTACTTGTGCAGACTCCAGCTGTGCCTCCTGGCCCATGCCTCCCTCCCAGATTGCAGGGTAGACCCAAAGCAAAAGAAATACAGTTACGATGGGGTAATTTCCATTTTGGTAATAAATTATTATTAAGTTAGAACAGAAAGTATTCATCTTGTTAAATTGCATCAATCTTTCCACCTTTAGGACCCCCTCTGGTTGATGGTGGATCACCCATTTCCTGTTACAGTGTGGAAATGTCTCCTATAGAAAAAGATGAACCTAGAGAAGTTTACCAAGGTTCTGAAGTAGAATGTACAGTGAGCAGCCTTCTTCCTGGAAAGACATACAGCTTCAGACTGCGTGCAGCTAACAAAATGGGGGTAAGAAGACTATACTGATAGAATTATCATCACAATGGTGATTATGTTTCATTTTAACATATATCATCATATCCATTATTTGGCCATTTAGCTTTAACATATGACTCCAAATTTTACAATTTTTTAATAAGCATACATTGATAAATACAAGAGAAGTCAGTATATTCCACAACTTAATTTTTATGAAATCTCAGTATTTTTAGATCTCACTTACAGTTTATGACACTTTGGACTTCAACTGGGCTAGAGTTTACCTTTTAGGCAGTGTTAATAGAGTTTACTTAATCAATTTAAGAGTAGAAGTAAAATCATAAGTACTGAAGTTTTTTGAGGCTGATTGAAGTTTTTGAGGTTTTTGAGTTTTTTGAGGCTGATTGAAGTTTTTTGAGGCTGAAGTAGCATTTACTTTCAGTTGGCAACTAATTATGATTTTTTGCCCAAGTGAGAAAAAACTTATGCTTTAAACTATTCTGGTTTTGTATGTATTTAATATATAACTCCAAAAAGTGGACAAAGTGGGTAATATCTCCATTTCACAACTAAGGAAACTGGGGTTCAGGAAAGCTAAATATTTTGTCCACAGTCGTACAAACTAATAAGTGATAGAGGTAAGCTGCAAACCTGAGTTTGTCAGACTCCAGAGCCAAAGCTCTTTCCACTCATCTATGACACCTCTCATCTCTCTGCAATAAAGCAGGTTCCCTAAGGACAAAGCAGTAATTTCCTATATCAACTAAATAACGATTTCTTTGAACTATTCTATAATTAAAATTTTATAGAATTAAACTGACAGTTCTCCCATACCCATTATTTTGGTGAACTATACTATATTTCATATCCTGTTGTCCAAAAGGGTTCTGTATTTACATCTGTAAACTTACTTTTAAATTTATTTCTGTTTGGTTTTTTGAAACAGGGTCAGTGTGGAGTGCAGTGGTGTGATCTTGGCTCTCTGCAACCCCTGCCTCCTGGGCTCAGGTGACCCTCCCACCTCAGCCTCCCAAGTAGCTGGGACCACAGGTGCACACCACCACACCTGGATAATTTTTTCATATTTTTAGTAGAGAGGGGGTTTTGTCATGTTACCCAGGTTGGTCTCAAACTCCTGGGCTCAAGAGATCCACCCACCTCGGCCTCCCAAAGTTGTGGGATTACAGGCATGAGCCACTATGCCTGGCCTAAATTTCTTATATATCAAGTTTATATACTTAGGCAGCTCTTACACAAGTCATTCCTTTCTGTAAGAAGCCATCTTGTTAGCCTCACAAGGTTGCAGTACGCTAAGATCACATCTTTAATACTTACGTCTTAATTTATATTTTCAGGTTCGTGATAATTTGTCAAAATCACCTTAAGTAAATATTTACTTTCCATATTCCCAAAGAATATACATTTTAGACTTTTCTAAAGCTATTCCAGATTTTAAGATAAAATTTATGCCTACCAGAGAGCAGTACTGATAAATAATGTACTATAAATAACACTATTTACAGTTTTATTTTAAATAAAAGCCATTCAGCATGCTAGAATGGTGAAGCTTTGCATCATTATTTTGTTGTTGTTGACATGAATTAACCTTGCTCAAAAAAGGGAGGCCAAAAAAATGACATTTGTCATGAAAAACTTTTTTAAATCCCTATGGGACTTGAGGAACCAGAATCATTACTTCAGTTCTTATAAATAGTTGTGCTAAACCTCAAATTTCTATCATTTAGTGGCCCTTTCCATGCTCCCCATGAACTAAACTGAATTATTTGTGTGGCTGATATGTTTTATTAGGTTGCCTTATCACATGTGTAACAGTACTCTTTATTTGTAGATACCTTTGTAGGTATGTGTGTGTATAGACAGGTAGACAGACTTTTTTTTTTTTGAGACAGGGTCTCTGTCACCCAGGCTGGAATGCAATGGTATGATCATGGCTCACTGCAACCTCAACCTCCCAGGCTTAAGCGATCCTCCTGTCTCAAGCCTCCTGAGTAGCAGGGACTATAGGTGCACACCACCACACCAGGCTTATTTTTTACTTTTTTGTAGAGATGGGGGTCCCCTTATGTTTCTCAGGTTGGTCTCAAACTCTTGGGCTCAAGTGATTCCCCCACCTTCGCCTCCCAAAGTGGTGAGATTACAGGCATGAGCCTCTGCACCTGACCTTTTGTATATACTTATTATTGTAAATCATTTACTGCCACTAGCAGTCTGTAAGTCTATACTATTAAATGACATATTGGCCAGGCACAGTGGTAAATGCCTGTAATCCCAGCACTTTGGGAGGCCAAGGCGAGTGGGTCACTTGAGGTCAGAAGTTCGAGACCAGCCTGACCAATATGGTGAAACCCCTTCTCTAGTAAAAAGTGCAAAACTTAGCTGGGGGTAGTAGCACATGCCTATAATCCCAGCTGCTCTGGAGGCTGAGGCAGGAAAATCACTTGAACCTGGGAGGCAGAGATTACAGTCAGCTGAGATCATGCGACTGCATCCAGCCTGGGCAACAGAGTGAGACTCTGTCTCAAATAAATAACAAACAGAAAAAAAACTTTTCAATGACACGTTTATATTTGGAATTTTGGCTGGGCACAGTAGCTCATGCCTGTAATCCCAATACTTTGGGAGGCCGAGGCTGGCAGATCACTTCAGGCCGGGAGTTCAGGACCAGCCTGGCCTACATGGGGAAACCCCGTCTCTACTAAATATACAAAAATTAGCTGGGATTGGTGGTGCCCACACCTGTAGTCCCAGCTACTCAGGAGGCTGAGGCACAAGAATCGCTTGAACCTAGGAGGCGGAGGTTGCAGTGAGCTGAGATTGTGCCACTGAACTTCAGCCTGGCAACAGGCTTTTCTCAAAAAATAATAACAACATACTTGGAATTTTAAAATTGATGGGTTTTCAAATTTATTGTTTTAAATTAAGAATTTTTGAACTACTAATAAAACTATCTGCCATAGTTCATTGATTTTTACATGAAATATTTATTTTCAAGATGATCTCAAGATTACTTTCCACAAAGCAGGCACATTGTGTCACCATTTTGCTCTGCTTTGTAAATTTGCCATCTAGGATTTTTGGGTGGTATTCATGTGAGATTAAAGCATATTCTCTAGCAGTTTCCTATAGCTACAGGTTTTGTTTTTTGTTTTTTGTTTTTTTTCATTGCTTCTAATAGGATATAGTTACTATGAGTCCATGAAATATAATGGAAATGTGAATAAGGAGTTTACTGAAGACTTTAAACATTTGAATTTTTTTTAATTGCGAATATGATAGAAACCGGTAGTGTTGAGCAGTGCAAATATTTGAAGTGGTGATTTGTGAAATAGCCCAGCATTGCCTTAAACAAAATCACAGTCTACTTCCTGTTTTATACATGTGATAGTATAAAAGGTTTCTTTTTTGTTTGTTTGTTTTTGTTTTTGTTTTTTTCATTTTCTGAGATTTATAGATTGGTGTATAGCTTTAAACTATATAAAGTTTTATGGAAAGATTTTTTAAACTTATTAATATAAATTTTAAAGTTGATATAATTAAAGTGAGTCCATCTTCTGTTTATAAAATGCAAGATTCCTTAACATTTATAATTACACAGATGAAATGGTTTCTATAAGGAAGTTAGAGTTTTGATTTTGCCCTTTATAGATGTTAGATTGTGCAGATTTGTCTGTATTTTCTCACCATATCCAATAATACTTTTCTCATAAGATTGGTTTTCAAGAGCTGTATTAGTTGTTATAATTGATTAGTATATAGTTTAACTTTATTCATCATATTTATACTGTGGATTTATAGCCAGAGGTTGAGGTTATTTCAAGACAGTTGATGACCTTCATTTAAAGTCTAGCTAAAATCAGTGCTGTAAACAAAAGGAAACATTTACATTTGTTTCTCTTTGCCACATATAGTAGCCTTAATTTTTTACTTTGTTATAAAACAGTTACATTCACAAGATTAGCCTGAGATATTTAATGACATTATGATGATACAATATGGTGTATATTCCCTGTGCAATCAGATTTGGAGGAAAAATGAAGGACTTAACATTAACTGAAGTCACTGATACTCTGAATAAGTATGGTCAAGGAGTAAACTATTTTCTTTTGGAAAAACTTTTTAAATTTTTATTTTTAAAGTATTATACTGTTGTTTTTAGGGCCTAATGGTTACATTGAATAGTTGGTTTCACCTTCTTAAGGTTTATTACCAATATTCATGAAACTTGATACGTTAAAATCCCTACCCTTTGGTAAGTCTACTGCTATTTATT